GCTTAATAAACGCTGCCTAAGAACATCGTGTGTCCACTTATATAGCCTGTATTTTTGGTCTGTTGTGAGCATTATCTTAGGTCTATAAGCTTTTTGTAAACATTTTTCAAGACTTAGTCTATCATTAAGATGTACCATAACTTATTTAGGAATTTCTTTATTTTAAGGTGTTTAGATTGCTTCCAGATTGAGGATTTCTTCCTTGCCCAATAATAATAATAATAATTTTAATAATTAAGAACACTAAATAGCCCTGTCATAGGAGCTGAAACAAATTAGGTTTTTGAACAGTAGCTCCCCAATGGCTGAGTTGGAAAGATGGACAGATTTGCTTAGTGCTTAGGTGGAAAGGGGACAGGAGTCTAGACATGCACCAGCAGGATCAATGGCTGGGAGGTGGAAATGGCTCTGAATGTTCTGGCATTTGCTAGAATTTAATGTGACTAAACGTAAGGTGGAGGCCTTGCAATGAGTGGGGACAGCAGCTGAGCACAGAGGGGCTGTGTGCCATGACTGTTTCGTCTCTGGGTCTCCAGTACCCAGACAGGGCCTGGACCATGGGGGTCTCAGTCTATGGAGACTAAATACTTTTATGAAAAGATTTAGTTGAAGTTCTCAACTGTATTTCTCAGGCTGTTTGGCAAAGTTGTACGAGTTGGTTCATCTGGGAATCTGTGGACATACTATGTGTGCTGATACATAGGAGGCTTCTGCTGCCTGAGAGGTGAATGATGCCTGCCAGGAGTTGCCAGGGAAGTCTGGATTTAGGAGTAATTGGCTCTGAAACTGGTCCTGGGATTTGTACCGGATGTAGTTCCAGAGACTTCTAATTGCAGGCGCTGAGCTAATAAGCCCGCCTGCTGTCCCAAGGGCATCCCAGGTCCAGTCCTCCAGTGCGGGACGTGTCCTTTTATTGGAGCAGTTGGCAGCTCAGTGGCAGCCTTGGCACGCACAGGTGTGCTCAGTTATTGCAGGTCTGACTCATCGCCTGTGTTCTGCTTTGTGGCTCAGTGCTGCCGCAGGCTGCCACTCCTCACCCAGACTTGAGGGGTGGGGAGGTACTGGGGTTGAGGGGAGCAGGAGAAGGGAGGGAGGCCAATATTTGCTGATACCTGCTGTGTCCCTGGTGCTTTGCTGGGTTCTCTAAACACATCTATGCTTTAGTCCCCATGAAAAGCACTTAGAATAGATGTTGGTATCTTCATTTCCAAATGAAAGAAAAATAAAGCAGAATTCAAGAATTGAGGTACCTTTATCAGGATGATACCTGAATAGAGCCAGTCAGCAGCATGTTGACACCAGAGCCCATGCCTGTTCCCTTTCATGTGTTGCTCCAGATCTACCTTCCTTGTGGGGCCTTCTTATTGAAACCTGATGGTGTAGTGCAATATTAGGGACGTCAGCAAAAGCCCAGGGTCCCAGCCTTATTACTAGCCATATAAGCAAGTCACTGCAACTGACTGGGCCTCAGTCTCATCTGCAAAAGGGGGATAAATTTCAATGTCTGTACTTAAGTGGTTTGTATGAATCAGAGTAGATGGTATGACTGGGAACCCTGCTGGCACCAGGCCTGCATGAGCATGCTATAACAGACTTGAGGTGTGGGTTCCTCTCTCTGTTCCTCATTCCCTGTCTCTAAGTGGGCCCTATAAGTGGAGCCCAAGGTAGAGTTCAGGCTAATCTTTCTTCTCTAAGAAAATGGGTGTCAGAGCTGGATTAATCTGGGATTACTCTCAGTGCTGACACTTAGCAGTATGTGTGTGACCCTCAATAAGACCTTGGCCTCTTTGAGCTTTGGTTTCCTGTCCATAAAGTAGAAGAAAAAGCACCTTGTTGGTCTGTTAGGCTTAAATGACACAAGCACATTTGGTGTTTGCCACTAAATGTTGGTCCTGTTCCTCTCGCACTCTGGGGGACCGCCACGACATAGTGCACTCACAGATTTTCCTCCTTCAGACATCTGCATAGGACCATCGTCCCCTTCCATTCAGCTGTTTTGAATTAGCATGTGTAAACACTGTGTGACAAGGCCTTTGCTGGGGCTGGTGATATGGCTGTGGACAGGGCAGGCTCACCAGGTTGCTGTTGGTGGGGAGAAAGGGGATAGAAAGACACAGAAGATCATCATATACATACATGTATGTGAGCATAGAATACTGGCCGGTGCTGTGAAGAAGGAGTTCATGTTCTGGGTGGCTTGGGAAAGGCTCCCTGAATGGCAGGCTGGGCCTGAAGGATGAATAGAGTGTACAAGGGAAGAAGGTAGGCTGGAGTGATTCGGAAAAGAATGTCTTGGAAGATGGGTGTAAACTCTCTGGACCTGATCCACTGGTCAGTGAGGCCCAGGCACAGGGAGTGGAGTGCAGAGACCAGGCTTCAGCAGACAGGAGATTTTAGTGTTTATCAAGGGCATCCTTCATGGTTAACGATGCCTCCTTGGGCAGCCTGGAGACTCAGTGGAGCTAGGACCCGTGCTGTGAGTCTAGGCTCAGCCTGCCATTGAGTCCCTGTGTCCTAGAGCCCTGGTCCTTTTTGAGACAGTTTCCTTTTCCCATCTGTAGCATGGGAGAAAAACCTGCTTTGGAAACCATAGCATCCTCACACAGGTGTAAGGGGTCCTGATAACCTCAGCCCATTAGGGGTTTGGGGTGATTCATGAAACACATACAGTATAAAAGGATACATTTAGTACTGGGTCAGAGGGAAGTTGTTGGTAAAAAGACAGAAGCTGGGCTGATGATCACCTAAAATTCACTTCACTGTATCTTCCTGAACATTTGCAGAAGTAGGTAGGCTGCTAGATGGATTAAATTCTTCCTGGCTGCCTGAGCAAAGCGACAAGGTTGGGTACTTGATTCAAGATGCTTTAAGATATTAGGGAAAAAAGTGACTATGGAAAAGTATGATTTTTTTCTCTGCATTGAGGCTGACTCTGGCAGAGCCATTGTGTGCATTGGTAACTGCTTGTTTGTCCTGTTTACAGGTCTGCTGGAAACACTGGGCAATGAGCCGGAGACACCAGCCCGGAGTGGTCTGAAGCCATTTGGGAAAGCAGAGAGATCCTGGGGAAGATGGCCATGGCCCCAAGCTCTTCCTTGGCTCAGGGGTACACCAGCCCTGGGGCAGTGGTCGTGTGGGAGTGGCAGGATGAGATGGGCACCTGGCACCCCTACAGTGCCACTGTCTGTAACTACATTGAGCAGCAGTTTGTCCAGCAGAAGGGCCAGCGCTTTGGGCTGGGGAGCCTGGCCCATAGCATCCCCTTAGGCCAAGCTGACCCCTCGCTGGCCCCTTACATCATCGACCTCCCCAGCTGGACCCAGTTCCGCCAGGACACTGGTAAGACATGTTCTGCTTCTATGTATCCAAGCACCTGCTTTGGGTCAGCTGCCACACTGGATGTTGGAGTTACAGAATTGACTCTCAGAGCTTAGTCCTGCCCCTGATATGCATACATTTGGGAGGTGGGTACTGTGAGTGATAGCAGGTACCACACAATGTGTGATGTACTTAACATCATCAATAGGTTCTATGACTTTAAGTGAAATGTATAACGAAACCAGTTTTATCACAGGCTAATTGATATAAACAATAGTTAAGTTTCTGTGGCATCCCATCAACATTGTAATGAGATAATGCTATTTGAGTCGCTGCTGTACCTGTTAGTAGTAGAGGGCACCTTGGAAGCACAGTGCAGAGGCCCTCACAGCCCCTTTCCCAAACCAAAAATGCCTGTTTCTGCCTGCAGAGATTTGATGATCTCGCTGTCAGGCGGCTAGCATGGAGGTGGTGTGCTGTGCTAGTTTTGGCTCCAGTGCACCGTAGCTGTGTGACCTGGGCAGGTTACTTCACTCTCCTGTGCACGTGTGTTTGGTTTTATTATAGGTTTTGATCGGTATTGCTGAAAATGGGGCCAACAGCTTCCTCTCAGAGTTTTCCTTGTTCCTCTAGCCCAGCGGTTCTCAGCTGGGGGTGATTTTGTCCCTCAGGACATTGGATAATGTTTGAAGACAGTTCTGATTGTCATGACTGTGGGGCAGGGCACTTCTGGCATCTGTTGGGTAGAAACCAGGGATGCTGCTAAACATCCCATTGTGCACAGGACTGGCCTGTGACAAACAAAATTATTACCCAGAGTATCACTTGTTTCAAGGAACCCTGCTCTGGTCCCTGTAGCAGCATCCTCAGGCTAGTGAGACTAAAGCTTCCAATCAGTAGGATGCAGGTGAAAGTCCCTGCCTTCATGTTGTTTGCAGGAAACTGAGAAAGGTGGCACACAAAATAAATAATATATGAATTGTGTTTTATGTTAGATAGCAAGCAGTAAGTGTTAATCGGAGTGGAAGTGAGGGTTGGGAAAGGTTGATTTGAAGTTTGAGCTTCAGTGGCATTGGCAAGGGACAGAGAAAGACTGAAGGAAGGGCAGGAGAGGGGCAAGTTCTGCAGTGCTTTTCACTCACTCAGAGGGACTGCTTTCATTCTGAAAGAGGGAGCCAAGGAAGGATTAGGGCATAGGAGTGATGTAATCTAACTTGGAGTAAAGAGCATCCCTCTGCCTGCTGTGGATGGTGGTAAGAGCTGCTGCAGTCGAGAGACCAGGTGCAAGGTAATCGCAGTGATCATCTTTTGGCAAGTGCTTAGAAGCATGGCCTAAATTTATTTTTTTCTTTTTCTCCGTAATCTTCAGGTTTGATTTTATTTATATAAGCTAAGCTAAGCACAGGGTGTTACCCAATATTTGCTACTGAAGAAGTCAAAGGAAATGGTACATCCATGTAAGAGAATTATGTAACAATAATGAGTTTTACAAAGTTTTAGAGACACATAAAATACTTATGGCATAATATGTGAAAATAGCAGGAAAGGTTTTTCAGTATGATTCTCAGCTACCTGGATGTGTGTGCCTAGATGGGAAGAAATGCATTGCAGCATAAATGATGTGCTTTCCTTTGGTGGTTAGATTATGGATGATTTCATTTTCTTCATACTTTTTTGTTTCAGTTTTTTAAGTGAAGCTGCATAGGTTTCATCATTAGACATATTTTTATTTATTTATTTATTTTTAAAAATCCTCACCAGAGGATATTTCTTCTCCCCCTCCCCCATTGATGTTTAGAGAGAGTAGGAGGGAGGGAGGATGGGTGGGGGAGAGAGAGAGAGACAGAGAGAGAGAGAGAGAGAGAGAGAAACACACCCATGTTCTCACGTCAGTTGGTTACTTCCCACATACCCCGACCAGGCCAGGGATGGAACCTGCAACCCAGATACGTGCTCTTGCCTGAGAATCGAACCCGAGACCCTTCGGTGTATGGGCTGATGCTCTAACCATGAGCAATGCCGGCCAGGGCTAGAAATCGCTTTTAAAGCCTCATTGAGTCTGAGCCACACCAATTCTTTGACCTAAACTTTCAGCATCCCCCACTCCTGCCCAGGAGCATGGATCCCCTGCTGCTACCTGATCCTTTTGGGCCACAGGTTTTTATCTAAAGAGGGCTCTCTATCCTTCACTCAAAAGTTGGGAAGAACAACCAATGCCAGACTTTAGGTCAAATGGCACCATGACCCCTATATATACTGTGATCATATTAATTTAACTTGGTTGTAGGAGAAAATAAAAGTCCATTTGTTTGGGGGTGCTAGCAGATTAACCATTTATATGTAATATTCCTTACAAAACAGGCACCATGCGGGCTGTGCGGAGGCACCTGTTTTCCCAGCTCTCAGCCCCGGGCCAGGGCATTGTCTGGGAGTGGCTGAACGACGATGGCTCCTGGACAGCCTATGAAGCCAGCATTTGTGACTATCTGGAGCAGCAGAGGGCCAGGGGCAACCAGCTTGTGGACTTGGCACCTTTGGGGTACAACTATGTCATCAACTATGCCACCCACATACAGACCAACAAGGTTTCGAACTACTGCCGTAGCGTGCGGCGCCAAGCAGGGCCCCCTTACCCAGTGACCACCATCATCGTTCCACCAGGCCACATGGGAGTCGCCTGCTCTTGCCATCAGTGCCTCAACAGTCGCAGAACTGGCCCTGTGTCAAGTTGCTATCGCCACTCCATGACCAGCCTCCCTGCATACCCTACCCCTCAGACCCCCCAAAGGACTGCTGTTATCTTTGGGGCCCACCAGGCCTTTGCCCCATACAATAAGCCCTCACTCTCTGGAGCTAGGTCTGCACCCAGGCTGAACACCACCAACCCCTGGGGTGGGGTGCTGCCCTCCTTGGGGAACCAGCCCTTTTACTGCTCCAGCCTCTCCCACCTGGGACCTCAGCGCCAGCCCCCAGGATCATCCACTGCCAGTGGAGCCAGGTATCTTGTGTTCTTGAGGGTCGTTTTGTCCACCTGTGTACCTTGTCAGCAGGCTTGAGTTTTGCTTTTCCTTAGCTGGGAAGACTCACCCAAATAGCTGCAGACTTACACCTGCTTCTGTTGTTGTTCCTGCTATGTCATCTCCTTTGCATGTGCCTTGTGGTGCCACAGCTGTCCACAGCCTTGCATCCCACAAAGCCTTGACCTCTGGGACTTGAGTGTTGATAATTGCCACACAGGTTAAGACCAGTAATCCCTCCATTCACTCAGGAGAATCGCACTCTCTGTGTAGAGCAGCTAACCACTTTTTGACTGTGCCTGTGTGCCATGTAGCTGGTACCATGTGTCTGAGAACATTTCACCTCATAGACATGGAAGGTTCAGTCCCCTCCCTAAGTCCACAGTCTTGTCCAGGAGAAAGTTTTGAGCTCAGCTTTGGTTGAGGGGAGAGCAAAATGTTGGGGGGGGGGCACTTAGGAGGTGGCAACAGATGACATAGGACAGTCCCTCTGTGCTGATGCATTCCAGCCCGCTGTCTATCAGAGATCTCTGCACCTGAGAAACAGGCCCCATCTAGACCAGTTGGCACTTAAAAGTGAGAAAAGTTCCTGGAGTGGCCAGTTGGGCTGTGCTCCTGGGGTGCGCAGACACCTGTCACTCACAAGGGCCTTGTCATTGGTCATTACTGAGAGTGTTGGGTTTGGAGAACATTTTGAGAATTCAGAGTGGTAGTTGGGATGGGGGCTGATTTCTGAGATAGGGTGAGCTGGGCAGGTAGTGACTGGACATGTGGGCCCATGGCTGCCCTATTTCTCAGGGAGTCAGCATCTTGTTGATTTGCACTGCAGTGAGCCAGTCAGCATCCTGTTGCTGCCTCACTCACCCAGCTCTATCCCTGCCCACTTCACCACAGTGAGGGCTGAAGCTTTCTAGTGGTGGCCAAGGCCTTGGCAGCATTTTTTAGAGCTGGGTTTCAGAGGACCCTGCCAACTTCTAGCAGACACAGTGACAACTGCCATTCACTGAGTACATGTTAAGCCAGTCCCATTGAGCAGGCTCTGTGAGTGATTTCATTCATCCTCAGAACAGCCATGTGGTGGGTGGTGTCCTCAGCTTATGGGTGAGGACATTGAGGCTGACAAGGTTGGCAGCCCAGCTAGCAAGTGGCAGAGCTGGGATTAAACCGAGGCCCCAGAGTGGGCCATGTGGGACACATGGGGTTCCTGAAGCTCTCTTAAAGGCAGAGGAGAGGAAGATAGATGGTATCTGGAGGGATGAGTGTGGAGGAATCTGACAGACAGAGGAATGGGTCCTGGGTGGTCAGGGCATCTTCCTGGCATTTTCTCCTGAGAGTTGGGGCATGTGGATCTAAGATTTTTCTGGGAATTTGGAGCACAGGGAGGTTTTACTTGAGCCTTCTCTGTGGACTTTTACACAGACATTAGCAAGTAGGACTCTGTGCGAGCCCAATTCCACCCAGTGCCCTTTTGAGACCCCTCCAATATGTGGGTCAGTCTCTTTTAGAGAGAAGTGTGCTGTATCTGCCAGCCCAGCAGGATTATTCATAGGGCTAGAGCTTCTACTAGTTCGGCTTTGCCTAGCCTCCTGGGCTTCTTAAGTTCTTACAGATTATTTTAAGGCAAACTTCTGGATGATTCTAGAGGTGGGGTTCTGGGACTGAGCCAGGCAATTTATAAGCTTGGTTGCTTTCTCCCAGTCCATGGCTTCCATTGCTTTCACCTCCCCAGCCTGAGGCCTGAGAGACTGTTGATGTGGGCCCAACTGGTACAGGCCAAGCAAGTTACTGAAGGGAAAGTGGCTGGGCCGGACGGTCTTACCTTTATTGATGGGCCATGCGTGTTGGTGCTTGTCCTGTATTGTAAGCCAGGAGGGAACCAGGCCAGCTGGCTCTGTTAGTTGAAACAGCCTCAAAGGGACCTGCCTCCTAAGGTGGATGTTCATCTTTATCTCCTACAACTTTTTGGGAACTGGGAGGGGTGATCTTTACTTGCATGGGCCTATCCTCACTTAGAGAAACTAGGTTTTCCTGTATCTAATTTGTAGTGGGGCCCTCTTCAGTTAACCCTTCTCTGATGGGGGTTGTAGAGCCAGAGGGGGCTTAATAAATGGCTGACTTCTTAACCCACTGAGGGTGGGAGGACTGAAAACACTTGGCAACTTGGTCTCCCTAGGGTCTGTGGTATAGTTCTTGAAGCCAAATGAATGCCAACAGCATTAGGTGAAAGTTACCATGTTTGTGGAGGAGAGGAGAAGGCAGCAGGGCAGGCAGTGCCATGCACTGGGGAAGCCTGAGAACCAGCTGTGTTTAGTGGTAGCCACTGGAAAGAACACATGAGTGAAATAAAAATGTGTGGAGCCCATGTGGTTTCAGATAGCTTCTTGCTCAATCTGGGTAAAACCTTGGCGGACTGATTTCCTTGTGCCCTGAGAGGCTTTCTGAGTAGGCAGCAGTACATGGAGAAGGTACATGATTTGTCACTGAGCTGCTGGATTTATGTAAATTTCCTGGTTATTGAAGTTTATCCCTTTAAGCACCAAACTTACGTTTTAATGATGTTGGATGGAAAACTTTCCAAAATGTGTCATGCATACTCTGTCTTCTTTAATAGAGGGTGTACCGGCTTGTGCATTTTAATGACTTGAGGTGGTGATTATGCCCAGCAGCCTGTTGCTGCTCTGGTGTGACTAAGCCTTGGCACACTTTGTCTCTGCACTAAGCAGCCCTAGAAAATGGCTCTTGCAGTTTGCTTTCATTTGTTCTGTTCTTACTGCCTGTCTCCCTCCCTCTAAAGCAGTGGTTCTTAACCTTCTGGCCCTTTAAATACAGTTCCTCATGTTGTGACCCAACTATAAAATTATTTTCGTTGCTACTTCATAACTGTCATGTTGCTACTGTTATGAATCGTAATGTAAATATCTGATATGCAGGATGGTCTTAGGCGACCCCTGTGAAAGGGTCGTTCAACCGCCAAAGTGGTCGCGACCCACAGGTTGAGAACCACGGCTCTAAGGGCACCCTAATCCCTTCTGTTGCTGGCCAGGCTCTTTAGGTTTGTGTGATTTGAAATCCTGGGTTCCAAGTGGGACTTTCCTCCTGACTCACTGCAGGTTTCTGGGCCAGCTCTGTTCCCTTTCCAGGTCTCTCTTCTCACCTCTTAAAATTAAGTAGGTGGGTTGGCCAGTTTCTGAAGTTTCCTTTTGCTCTAATATTGCTGTTGGTTTCAGGGGTTAGTGAGGGCTCTGCAGAAAGGTGTTCGGCAGCCCGTCAGCTTTTCTGTACCCCCTTTGCTCCTCTGAGACCTGGAAACAATGGGTGCTGATCAAGCCTCGTAACTGCCCTGGGGGCCTTTTGGAGTTATTTTCATCTTACAGGTAGAGAAATGGAAGCTCAGGAAGGGCACTCGACATGCCTAAGGGCACACAGCTTTAAGCATGAGCAGGCACTGGAGGTGGGGTGACAGATTCCGCATCTGCCGCTCCTTGTCCTGTACATGCTGGTTGGTGCTGGCTTCCTGGTCTTTGGGAAGCTGCAGGGAGGCCTTTCATTTCCTTACTCTTCAGCCTCCTAGCACTGCCCCTTACCTGGGACTGTCAAGTTCTGTCTGTCCTCATGTGTCATGTTATCTCCATTGGGAAGCTCCAGGAGGTGGTCTCAGACAGGAAGGCCAGGTAGGCTTAGTTAGTAGGTAGACCCAGGAAGGTGAGAGGCAGAGAGGGAGGCTTGAGGCAGTGACTGAGGGAATTCTCAGAGAAGGGCACTGCACACGATGCCCCACAGAGGGAGCCTGCTGTTAGTCTGAGCCCTTTGAGGATGATGGAATTGGATCGATGACCACCAAGGTTCTGTCCACTCTTGGGACTTCCCATCTTGGGAACCACTAGATCCTTTTTCTGCTTCATTCTCTCTGATCAGAGCAGGGAAATGGGGGGAGGAGCTAGGATAATTCACGGGGGAAGTGGCCACATTGGGAGACCCCTAAGCAAATAGAACTTAGTCATGATTCCTGGTTCTTGGTCCCTGTTCCAGGGTGAGTTGCCCACTGGAAGCCTCATTGCATATCTGTTTTCTGCTCTAGTTTTTGAGGGGATGAAACACAAAATTAGGTCTTCTCCCTTGGATACGTGCCTCTCTCTGGTGAAGGAAGACCCCACTTCCTGGAGCCCCTCTGGGCCGGCCGTGCTGAGTCCACTCAGTAGCCCATTAATTTTGTGCCATTGTAGAGCCAAGCTTCAGCTTTCTGGCTTCCTGGTTAAGGGCTCAAGCTCCACGCTGCCTGGAAGTTGGCTTGGGAGATGAAAGATGACTGGGAGGGCTATATCTTCTTGAATTCCTTCATTTACAGAACCTGAGAATTGCAAAAATAATCTACTTTCCTTTTAAAAAACCAATGGGGGCCCTAGCCGGTTTGGCTCAGTGGATAGAGTGTCGGCCTGTGGACCAAAGGCTCGATTCTAGTCAAGGGCATGTACTTTGGTTGCAGGCTTTTCCCTGGCCTGGGCCCTGGACAGGCCTTGTGCAGTAGGCAAACAATCGATATGTTTCTCTCACATCAATGTTTCTGTCTTTCCCTCTCTCTTCTCTTTTCCCTAAAAATCAATGGAAACATATCCTCGGGTGAGGATTAACAACAACAACAACAAATTCAAAACACCAAAAATAAAAATAAGAAAACAAATGGGGGAAGAGGCTCAGAAATTAGGGTAGGGAGTTGAGGTGGAGCTTGTTCCAAATTAAACAGTTTAGTGGGCCAAAACCTTAGCCCAGGTGTCCTGAACACCCAGCCCCTCCATTGCATTAGCAGAACACTCTAGCTCCAGTTCCGTTGTTCTTTTGGGGATGAGAGTGGATGAGGAGGGCAGGTAGCATGGTCACACAGGATATTCTGATTGGGAGAGCAATCCAGGAATGAAAACAAGACAACCTCTTTCTTCACTCAGACATACCAGAGCACCTGCTGTGCTACAGACCCTGTGCGAGGCGCTGGCAGCTTTAGCACTAGCGCAGTGTGAGGTTTTTCTGGTTTGGATCAGAACCAGTCAGCTCCCTGTAGTTTCCACCAGCAGGATCTATGACCTATGGCTGGTGGTAGGGAAGGATCTGGGGCAGCTTCTGGAAGCATTTGCTGTAATCAGGCAAGTTGTTGGTTTACTGGCAGATGTAAGGGTAGCACAGTAGACTGAAGCTGTCCATCATTTCCTGAGCCACCTTCCCAGTACCTGGTTCATGGCTAGGCTCAGTAGAAAAGAAACAAAGGCCCTGTCCTTGACAAGTTCCAGTGTATGGATTAGGTGGAAGGGTTTCATAACTCTTTCTATTTCATCATTATTAACAGGGGCAAGGATGGATGGGAGGACACAGGAACCAGGATTGGGGTGTTGCTGTCACCTTGGGCCATCTACACCAATTCTCCAGTGCAGGGCTCCCCCCAGCCATAATGACATGGATTTGCTATCATTTACAAATATAATGGCCTCTAGCGCAAGGTTGTGAGAGGTGGGCCTGACAATGGCCAAGAACAAATGGAAAGGGCAGAAGCCCAGGAATGTGTTTCACATAGCCAGCCAAAAAAAAAAAAACTTCAAGGGTAACAGTAGCGCAAAACCAGTCACCACGAATCTTAAGAAGATAAACATTGTGAATGCTGAAAAAGCTAAAAGAATGAATGAAGGATCTTGCTCACTTCTCCCAAGGCCTTTCCCTCAAACATCTGCAGAAATAGCTGGCTCTTCAACTGAGTCAGGAAAACAGACCAGTGAATGTTGATGAAGCTACAAGATTAATGGCTCAGTTGTAATGCACCTAGTGATGCATCAGATTCCCCCCAAAGACCAATAAATTAAATGCTTTATACAGTGGCCTAGCCTGGTCTATGTGGCTCAGTGGTTGAGCATCGACCCATGAACCAGGATGTCAGGGTGTGATTCCCAATCAGGGCACATGCTGGGTTGCAGGCTTGATCCCTAATGTGGGATGTGCAGGAGGCAGCCAATCAATGATTCTCTGTCATCATTGATGTTTCTCTCTCTCTCCGTCTCCCTTCCTCTCTCTAAAAAATCAAAAGTGCATTTAAAAAAATATTTTTATTGATTTCAGAGAGGAAGAAAGAGAGAGAGAGAGATAGAAACATCAATGATGAGAGAGAATCATTGATTAGCTGTCTCCTGCACACCGCGGCCCCCCTCCCCCGCTCCACTGGGGATCGAGCCGGCAACCTGGGCATGTGCCCTTGACCGGAATCGAACGTGGGACCCTTCCGTCCGCAGGCCGATGCTCTATCCACTGAGCCAAACCAGCCAGGGCTCAAAAGTATATTTTTAAAAAGATATAATGGCCTAAAGCCAAATTAGTGACTTGAACTTAGTCACTGTGAGAAGCAAGACCTTTTTTATTTAATCCCTTAATTTTGAACAATTTTATATTTACAGAAAAGTTACAAAGAGTAAAGAGAGTTTCCATATCTCCCTTACCTGACTTCTCATGTTAACATCTTTCATAACCATAGTGCAGTTTTCAGAACCAAAGAATTGTCATTGGTGCAGTACTATTCATTAAACCAGTTTTCAACCACTCATCTCATTCTGTGTCTCATTCTTTGCATCCAGTTGTCAATTCTCCTCTTTCTACCATCGTGACTGTTCCTTGGTCTTTCTTCATCTTCCTATAACCCTGACACTTTCATAATTACTTTGTCAAATGTCTCTTAATTTGGGTTTGTTAGATGTTTTCTCATAATTTGGACTGAGTTTTTGCAATCTTGGCAGGAACTGCAAAAATGGTGGTGTGTCCTTGGAGCATTGTTTCTTGGGGTTCCTGATACTGATTGGTCATATTAATGGCAATGTTGGTCTTGATCACTTGTTAGAGTGGCTTCTGCTGGACTTTTCTTCTACAGCTACCATAGAGCTCTCATTTGTGTGTGCTTATTATAGTTTGATTTGTTTTCATGTTTTTTTTAATCTTTATTGTTCAGATTATTACAGTTGTTCCTCTTCCCCCACCTCATAGTTCTCCTCCACCTGGTTCCCACCCCACCCCAGGCCCTCGCCACCCCCCTGTCCACATCCATCTCCCACTGTCCTCATCCATAGGTTGTTACGATTTGTCCAGTCTCTTCCTGCACCCCCACACCCCTTTCCCCCCGAGAATTGTCAGTCTACTCCCTTTCTATGCCCCTGATTCTATTATATTCACCAGTTTATTCTGTTCATCAGATTTTTTATTAATTTGATTTTTAGATTCACTTGTTGTGATGCCGGAGTCCATTCATTGTCTTCACTAGCTGAGTTTAGACAGAGACACCCCAAAAGCTAGTAGTCATTGACAGTCCTG